AAGAGCCACAAGGTTTTCAGAAATCACAGAAGAAACTACTGACAGAATCACAACTAAACAGTGTGTTGCTGTGATTATTTTAAAATTGAAGAACTAACTAGTTGTTCAGATAGGTCTACAAAGTCTTTGTTTAGTAAGACAGTACCATCACTTGAAAATCTGAATGTACCTCTGAGAAACTGGGTTGGACTTTGTGGTGATATAACTAAAGCTATGATGGGCTTAATGATGCAATTTCATCTGTGGTAAAAAAAAACAAAATGTCCATGAATTTTCATATTCAAACGTACTTGCCATTTGAAACATGTAGCTGCTTCAAATGGCTATAAAACGCTTCCGAACGGCCTTAGAGATATTATGAAGCGTATATAATTTTTTTTTATTTTAGTGCTAAACGGCGAAAGCTTTTAAAATAAGTTCAATCATTTTTAGAATACAAAATGTATGAGATTCTGACGCCAGGTGGCTGCTGGTAAAGCAATGTGTGAATAGATTGCTGGGACAATTAGCTGTATTGCAGTTATATTCCACTTCACTTATCTTTGACGATCATACACATACCAATAGTTGTTCACTTCCATTCATCGCAAGTATTGCTTTAGTTTATGAGATAATGATTTGGCATTCTCGAGTCATTTAACTTCTCTTTCAGAGCGATGCTCCGTTTTTCCTCAGACTAGGTCTAGAAATAGAAAAGTTTGTCAAAACATTTGCTTCCAACTTTATGAATGTAAAATATGTTAAATCAGTTACTGGCATTGTGGCTACTGATGAAATGAAAGAGAATGAGTATCTGCCTCTGAACAAAGTATATCTAGGCATCTTAGCAGATTTCGCACTGACAGACCTGAAAGTAAATGATACAAATATGAACCACGAAGAAATCATAAAGACCTATTCATCAGGCAGGGAATTATATAAAAAAAAAGTTATATGTGAGACAGAATAGAGATTCCGCTTAGATGTGGACCCTATGAATACTCAAGATGTAGAACCAAGAAGCTTAAACAACATTGTGAAAATCTTTCTCTTACAGAGTGGTCAATTGATGAGAAAGATGAAGATTTGAGTGCTTAAAGTCTAGCCGAGCTTCTTAATAACATGAACATGTGTTTACTTCTATTGAATACTGGCGATATTAGTGAGATTGATGAAGAGTTGAGCGCTCAAAGTCTAGTTGAGTTTTCGGACAACACGAACATGTTACTTCTATTGAATACTGGTGATATTTATGAGATTGGTGAAGAGTTGGGAACTCAAAGTGTAGTTGGTCTTCCTAAATAACATGAATATTAATATGGTTACTTGTGTTGAATACTAGTGATATATTCTTGCTTTACGCTTTGCTATGCTGATAGTTTGCAATATCTCAGTTTACTGAAGCTAATAAAAATGTTCTCTTTCATCCATTCTCAAACAGTGTGTTCAAACGATTGTTTAGAATTTTGAAAGAAGTAGAAATAGATAAATGAAACAGATTAACAATGTCAACATCAAAAGCAAATCGTTATGAATATGAAAGGGGAAAAAAGTATCAACACATGCTCTTGAGCTGAATGCTCGTATGAAGAAGAGATCCAGTTCTGTAAAACGAATACCACTGCCATTGAGTATATCATCTCTTTGTTTTCGGAGCATTTTTTTTTAATTTGGTTGATTTGTAATACAGTGGAGAATATGTTGTTTTGTTTTATTTACTAATAAACGTATTTTAATTTGATTAGTATTTAAATTGTTTGCTTTAAAATATTAGGACAAAGTTATTTATTAGTTATCTGCATATGACCGTCCCTGATTTTGAACTGACAGACTAGAGGAAAAACTAGTCAACAGGCTCACCCTGCATGTGGATCTGAAGCAAACTGACAACTTGCTAAACATAATTTGAACTACATTCTACCCTCTTAAAACTATAAACCTTTTTCTGTGCCAGGTAGAGGATAAAAAGCTGAGAAATAATTTGTTTCAACTGGCTGAAAACTTTCCTTATTTGGGTGGCATTTTCAATGATAAAACAGTATCAAAAGCAATATAATATACATAGAATCCTAAAAGTAGAAAACTGGATTTTACCAATAAATAGGTATATATGTATATTATTTGAAAAGTTGGTTGGTTGGTTTGGATATTTGCACAAAGCTTTATAAGGGTTACTTGTGCTAGCCGTCCATAATTTTGAATTAACAGACTAGAGGGAATGCAGCTAGTCAACAGCATCTACAACCTAATCTTTGGCTACTCTAAACAAATTGTGGGCTTTGACAATCATTCTTATAATGTACCCATGTCCGTAATGTGCAGAGTGCGAATTTGGCGAGAACGGGACATAAACTATAAACCCTCGTATTCACAGCGTGGTACACGCTAACCATTAAGCCATGCTCGGCCCTATTTGAAAACTTGAAACAATCTCATATACATGCATAAAGCTTTATTTAAGTAACATTAACAAATTTTGTCACATGTATTTCATGGTAAGTCGAAAAAAAAAAAGTAAAATATGCTACACGACATACAACTTACACACTACATGTGAATCCAGCTTATTCCATGCAAGTTAGACCTAAGTGTTATATTTGTTTGAATTAACTGTGTTCGAATACAAGATTCTATTTCAACGTATTGACACTTGCTAAAGAATTGAGATTATTTCAAAATATCTCAGTGGACAACAATATGACAACTTCCAGCAACTTCTTGTTATTTCAAGTGAATCAAACTCTAGAAACCTGCCCAAATTTCAGTGCACTTTCTGTTTCATAATACTTTTGTAAATACTGTGTTTTACTTTTGTTATTATACTCATAAACATTAGCGAACTTAAAATGTGATATTCTTGGAATTATGGCCGAAAATATCCGTAATAGTATCGATACCTAACTGACAAATCAATGCATTTTAATAATTGAATGTTGTTGGTTTTTTTGTGTGTGTGACTTGTTTTTAAAATTATGTTAGACTTATACAGCATATTTTGATCAGAAATTATACAACTATAAGACGTCATGAAAATCAATATCACTATCAATATCTATATATAATTAATGCTACACTTAGATATCATTCTTAAGGTACTTAGTAAATCTTCGACATCCTTTACAGATTTGCCGCCCAGTGGCACAGCGGTATGCCTGCGGGCTTACAACGCTGGAATCTGGGTTTCGATACCCGTGATGGCCAGATCACAGATGTGTAGCTTTGTGCTGAATTACAAACAAACCTTCACAGATTCATTCATTCAGATTGCACAAATTCACTCGTGATTTGACTTTCTTTCACAGATTTTATAAGTCTAGCTATTATCGTATTAAATATATCCTCAACATAATTTACAGTTGTTTGATTTAGATTGCATAAATTCACTTGATATTTGACTTTTCTGTCGCAATTTTATATAAATCCAGCTATTGTAATATTACATACATCCTCAATATCATTTGCAGTCTAAAATACTTACTGACGATATAATTGTTCTATCGCGTTTTTTAATTCAAAGAACTAGGTTTACCATTTTCATTGACAAGTCTAAGACTTCTTACTCACGTTATTTTATTGAAAGTTTACGGTTTTCGTTACAGCGAGTGTTCCATCATTTAAACGATAGTTCAACTTTTTTTTACTAGCCAATGTGTAGCTAGATTAAGTATCATGATTATTGTAAAGCGATTTTTTTTTATCCTAAATATTATGGTAAAAAAAATTCTTAGTGTACATAATTTTCCAAGTGGATCTGCATTTAATTTCGCAGACATTATCTATTTAGCCAGTAAAATATACATTTCCTTGCACTAGGGCCTAGTGGTTAGGGCGCTCGACTCGCAACCTAAGGGTTGCGGGTTCGAATCCTCGTCACGCCGAACATGCTCGCCCCTGGGGGCGTTATTATGTGACGGTAAATCCCACTATTCGTTGGTAAAAGAGTAGCCCAAGAGTTGGCGGTGGGTGATGTTGAGTAGCTAGCTCTCTTCCCTCTAGTCACTGCAAAATTAGACACAGCTAGCATAGATAGCCATCGTATAGCTTTGGGTGAAAAACAAACCAAACCTTACACTAAAACTTAGAAACCTACCTGTCGAGATTTTCGTAAGCAAAGCTGGATGTAAAATCTGTGTCTCAATGGATTGAAACAATTTTTGTATTTCGAAACGTTCACGTGTTTTCAGATTGAATAGGATTTATTGTGAAATAAAGTTACGTGTTAACATTTTATTGGTATACATTTTCAATAGTTTCATTATAAAACAAATCACGTGTTAGCAGGGCAGTAAGTAAATGTTGGTGCATCGCAATAAAATACGGTTCTTCTTTTTATTACCCTTCTTTCTTCAAAGCCCAAAACGCCGAGTTGTCTGTCATCTTTATGTTTATCTTCATGTTTATGAAGAATTATTTTAACGACAATAGGTGCAAGAGGAACATCCATGCAATTCCTCATAAAACGGTTCTTACCGGTTTTATGTCCATTTACGTACCTTTTATGGATCTGTTGACGTAAAAATACATGGAATGAGATTGAAGCATCAATATTCTGTACACAATTTTCATTTTCTCAAGGTTTGGCACGAACTTTATGTTAAGAGTTTGGTTAAGCGGTATTTCTATGTCTCCCATGTAAACAATGAGCTTTGCTTTATTTACTTGCTAATTTCTTGTCAAAAAAATAATAAGAACAGCGTTGAGAATCCTTGGTCAACAGACAAAAACAAGAAAACTTGAAACAACACGATAGAACAACTGAGTAAACTTACCTGTTAAGACCTATCCCTTTTAACAAATAATTCCGAGTAGAAAGCAGCGGTAAGATAGAAGAAATTGTGTCTCGAATTACAATTATCTTCAAGACACGGTGAAAAAAAAAAAAAAAATTACAAACTTAAGCCGTGAAAATCACGAGTAGGATAAACATGTTAGCTGTCTACTCGCGAACATCAGACAAAGCTTGCCCATCTTCAGCCAAAATGCATAAAAAAAAAATGTAAAGTATAGGAAGTTGGACTTGGTGTCAAAGCAAAGCAGGAAATTTATTACTTTAAAAACAGTACAATCTTTCTTTTGGACACACACTTCTGTTTTAAAATTTGACTAAATATACCACTACTCACAATTTGTTTTTTTTTTAAATCCAAATAGAACATTATCTTCAAACCATGATATACATCAAGAAAATTACTTTTAAAAAGGGATTTTTTGTTACTGAAATTTATTCCTTTCAAAACTAAGTTTTAATTCCAAAATTGAAGATGTTAATAAAAGGGTAAAAGACTGACAGGAAAGTTTGTAAACGTGAACATCCTTCTAAAATATATTTATATCCAAAATAGAATGAAAAATGGGAAATAATTTAAAAACAATTTCAATTACTTCAAAGATGATAATTAAAAGTATAAAAGTAATAATGAAACTATGACTATTACAAAAAAATAGCAAATTAATAAATAACTTTTATCAACTGCTTGTAACTTGAGACCTACATATTTTTGTCCTCCTAGTAATCAAACACATGCTTTTAGCATATTCAAAACCCCAAAATAACTTCAAAAATGTTTTTGAAAGTATTTACAACAGACAATTACATTTATATCTACAGTAAAGTGGATTCCAACAGACCCAAAAGAACCAAGTATGAAATCATAAATATTGTGTCAGTATATATAACTCGTACTATAATTGTTTAATACAATTTGTTCTTAAGTAACTATTTTCCATTCATAATGCATTAAAGTTTGGTTTAACAGGCTCTAAATTTCAGAAATCTAGAAAGTTTAATTTTTGTATAAATATTACTTTCCAAATATATTGTGATGTCTTGTTACAATTTTGTTACTAAAACGTTTGAAATCAGACATAAAATTTGAGGAATATGTATCATTCATTTTGTGAATTTCCTTCAAATAGGAATTTTGTAATTATTAAATGGTTTCAGAATTATTATAAACTTAATTAGTGAGAAACCAAAGAAATGCTCATGTTTAATTATATGGAAATACACATAAACACCTAAAATAATTCTGAAGCACACACAGAAGTTACTCTTAATCTGTAATACTTCAAAAACATTATCTTAATGATTCTCATGAAAGATATTATCACAATCACTATTAAAAACCTGAAACATAGTTTTCTTGAATATCCAAATTTATATTAAAGTAGAAGCAAGAAAATTATTCTTAAAAACACATGCATTAAACAAAACATTTGGTTCTACTTCATTTCTTTTCGATAGAGTTAAATAACTTTTCTAGACTAGTTTCAAAGTCAAAATTAATGAACAAATGTGAAATATTACTATAAAACTCTTTTTTATTTGATAACTTTTAGAGGTTCTCAATGCAAATAAGATATCAATCGTACTATAAGTGGTTGGATGTGTTATGAAAATCTAAAGACAGCGTGTCTGAAGATTTTGATGTATTATAAATTTAAACCATGATTAGACAGTATAAATTACAAACTTATGGTTTGTTGTAGATGAAAGGCGGGTGTATGCAGTTTTTTGTTATAATAAGTGTAATCAAATAAAACATGCACTATTCCCAAATAAGTCATCTACATGGTAACAATTAAGGAGTAAGCTGTGTGTGTCCTCTGGCTGGCAGAGTTGAAATCACCTTTTCTAATGCAAAGACAATATTGTACAGTATATGGAAAATATCCACCAGTTAAGAATTCTATTAAGTACTAATAGTAACAGTTCAAAGTCTGGCAGCATGTTACAAAAGAAAGAAACCATGATGAGCTGATCCTCCATCAGGCATGGTCACCAGACATCACTCCCCTATCTCTGGAGTTATGTAAAGGATACTGTCTACAAGATCACCAATGGAATAGCTGTGCTGGCCAACATGTGGATCAAAGTTAAATATTGACGTCATATCTAGAGGGTCACAAGCACAACACAAGTAAAGAAATGCCAATGCCAAATAGTGTGTGGCAAAAAACACTGCATACCTGTGTTCATCATCTCTCCCAAACTGTAAGTTAATAACTGTTACTGTCTTGTCATGATTTAAGTTTGTACTACATTACATTATGTTTAACACTGTATTTTATAAATAAAGTGACACAGATGTTCCTCTGTTACACCTGAGACAACTGTTATGCATGGCATTAGCCAAGTTAACACTTTTATCAGAGAATACAATCCCGTTTTCAAAAGATTAAGCTACAAAAACCAAATCACTTTATCTACCAGATTACACTTACAAAATACTTCTGAAAACAAGCAAGGTTAGACAGGTCTACCTACCTGCAACTTATGCCTTACCTTTGAGACATATCTGTTAAGAAAGGAAGAGGACAGATTATTGTCAAGGAACACTTTTGCTCATAATTTTAACATTTCTAGAGTTTTAAAATATTCTGCTGAAAACTGCAGGAGTAAATTACACAAATGTTTGGAAAAACGAGAACAAAAAAAAGAAACCCTCAAGAAAACTAAACATCCTTCTGCTGATTAGGATAGACTTTTTAACACTATCATTCACATATTGAAACAGAAAAATCACTTACATGACATATATAGATCAGTAAATCTCGCACAGTTTTAATGAAGTAGAAGCTATGGAACCCTTTACATTCAAAAGATGATTGAGTACATGTTAAGCAGACACTGTGGATCTTTTCTTCCCAGAATAATTAGTTATGGTTTTCTGTAATGATCTAATATAATTAGATGCATATATTAATTTCAAGTGTTGTTCTATTTCAAAAATGCATACTTGCAGAAATGTCAGTTAATAAACATCTACAAAGGTTCTTCTAAATGCTTGCTTGAAAATCTGCTTGTAATACACTGTAGGTGCTACCACCAATTATCATTCTAATGAAATTCAATCTTTATAGTAGTTAAAAGTCTAGTTGTTTATGTTAATGCTCAAAGTGTTGTTATTACATGGATTTATTTATATATATATATGGCATATAATTATATAGTTTCATAATTTGCTGTACAACATGTGTAATGAAATATTTATTAGACTCATTTCTACAATAAGAATAACGACAGCTCTAAAGATGAAATAAATATACAAATAACTTGTAAGGACTAGGACTAACAAAAATGTTTATTATAATGTACTTTTATAATAACTAATAATTCAGAAAATATGATGAACACATTGTACTTCAAAATAAACAATTACAAAAAAATAAGCAAACAAGTTATATTCTTCATGCTTCTAACGATCACAAAATTCCGTATTTCCACATACACTGCAGACTTAGAAAGGGATTTTCAAATGTCTATCTGCAAGTAACAAGAATAATCACCTCTATGAAGTCACAATTAAAATGAAGCAATAGATCTAAATTAACACATATATACGAAATATCAAAAAGCAAACAAATTAAAATTAACAATTAAAAAAAATCAATAAAATTTTTATGTAATTAAAAATCTAAACCACCTCATTTTTTTGTTTTTGCTTCAGAATGAAATCTCCAATACCAACAACAAAAAAATTAAACCACAGACCATACAACAGAACACCAAGTCTTTGAAGTGATTCAGAAAGACTGACATTTTTCCTTATAAAGCACATCAAAAACACTAGAATAGAAAATTCTTTGTTTCAGCACCAAGTTCTTGCAATACTTCAGAAACGATACACCAATTAATTTTCCATTACAATGCTGAACCATCAGACCTGCTATACAGAGCATTGAGTACATTATATTAAAACAATTTTAGCTATGCAAATCTGCAGGTCATGTGACAACCACAGCCAATATAAAATCATGGTGGAGCAGAATGTGTCACAACTACATTTTGACACTATGATGCTACTGAAAATTGAGTGCTTTTTGGAAGGGTAAGTAACAGTCTTTTCCTATGCAAAATATTCAAACATCAGATCATAAAGATATTTTAAGGTTGATAATTTGGAATTATCCAAAATGGGGATATCCCTTGTACTTAATGGCATTGGAAAACAAAGGAATATGGATCAAACTGGAACAAAAGGAGGCTTAAACATGTCTTAGACATGGTAAGTAAAACACAGTATCTTGTAACAGTGAAGAATATACAAAGTTTAGTGACAAAAGCCTTTCACATATCCCAGACAATAGTACACAGCATAATCAAAAAGGATCCCCATCTGGAAAAGCAACACAAGTCATATAAAAATTGCTTCCACAACATATCCATTTAACTGTCATATACCTCAAGCAGCTGGACAATGAAACAAGTATTTGTGATATACCAAACGACAACATAGCCATCAAATCACCAGATGCAGCATCTATGGATGTGTTTGTGATTCGACTGTTGAAATGGCTTGCTGGGAGACTAGATGGATTATCTCTCTCACTACAGGCTCAGCTGATTCAACTGAGTTCGTGACCATCGCAGTTCTCATGCTATAACTTTTAATGTTTTGTGTATCTTCACAAAATTTTACAAACTTTCAGTAAACATTACAACACAAAAAAGCATAATTTTTAATTAAGTATTATTGATAAAAATTTAATTTCTCCATGAATTTATGGAGTCAAAGTGCTGACAGTTCTGAGTGCAAAGTGATTTTCTTAAGATTAAAAATACTTTTCTTCATCTGAAAATTTTCAAATTCTTTTTGCATAATCCCTAAAATCTCCTAAATAAATATGAAACGTTTTTTTTTTCAGACAAACTATCTTTTATCTGTTATTTTTTATACTATAGTTCTATATGTGGTTGGTCAATTTGATCAACTTCATAACCACACCACAAAATTTAGGAAATAAATCTAAATTACCCTTTTTTTCTTTCTACAATTACTGCAAGTTGTAACAGGAAACTACAGTTGTTTATCCTCAACAGCTTAAAATTTGTAACAGTATATATCTGTAACATCTGTTTCTACTTAATTTTATTGTTTTACTGCCCTTTGAACTGTGTATAACTAATAATCCTGCCACACAAGTTGTAAATCATTCAGTGTATGTATAGCTCACATTACTGTATCAAATTACGTAACACATGAGCTACTTGTGAGCTTAACTTGTTTTCATTACCTTACATAATCTAACCTTATCTACCACAACAAGTTTCTAATTTTTACATTTTAGTCACTTTTATAATAATAAATAATGAAACATAGTTTTTACCTGGGACTTTTCTTTTTGCTGTCGGCTATCGAAGAAACTTGAGTCTACTTTTTATATATATATCAATGGTACTACTACACAAATAATTTTTTATTTAATCAAATAATCCACCTAAGAGTACAGAATAATAACACACAAGAAACCAAATAATATCCTACAACTATCATAATTTTCCTGGGTTTCTAACTATGTGATAAAAGCATTTAAAAATTCAGCTAAGCTCCCAGATGTGTTTTCCCAAGAATAAATTTGAAACTGATGATAAAATAGAAAATACCTGTACAGAAAACAAGGTAATATAATATGTCATTTAATAGATTAAAACTTTGGCTATTAGTTATAAATAATACAATACACAAAACGTCAGAGAACTACTGGTAATTTGTGAAAGATACGATGTGACAGGTGGGTGTGGTAAGTGGATCTGACTTTTTAGTTTATGGCTCCGCCGAGAAATAAGATTGAAGGGTACAAAAAATTATGCTTTGCCTGAGTAATATCAATACTATAATGAGTAATTTATGTTAAATTCCTTACTTCTTGGAGGGGTGGAAAATAAATTAAAGAGGAGGGAAGACTTAGGAAACAAATATCACAATTCTCATACTAGGGGAGATTTTTCAAAATATTTCCTTATGAAATTAAGAATTTCAAACATATATAATATTAAAATTTGATTTATTAACTACTTTTTTGATGTCTAGTTTATTCATATATAATGATAATAAAGTAGTTTCATTAAAGTTTTAATGTAACTTTATAAAACATCTTGACATGTGCACCTTGACCTGCCCATGGTGAGTGTAATAGATAAACACAGACGGAGGAGCGGTAGGATTTCCAAAATCCATCTAGTGTATGAGGACAATGCTTTCCCAACTCACAACTGCACAATTTTGTATGGAAACTATACTGCAGAGCTGTTGTCAAGATGGACACCATCAAAGAAGCATAACCAGATGTGATTTCATGGACTGTAAGTCTGTAATAACATGGTGAGGTTCCAAAGTCATTTTAATATGATGTATTCAACCTCTCCATTAATAACAAATCCTCTAAAATAAAATGCTTCAGGCACACACTAATCCATCAGACCTAATACATTAATAGTCAACCCTCAATCAAGTGTTCCAGGAACATTAAGCAAAAACTGTTTTGTTGTTCAGCAAAAAGTTATAATATTTCAAACATAATAATTCAGTAGATTATCTACTTCATTACCAAAATTTTGTAGAAGCATTAAGGAAACATTTGAAAGTAGAATTTTTCTTTCTCATCCCAAGATTCAGCATAATTTTCAGCAAAAAAAAGTAGAGTGAAAGAAAAATATTTCCTGGAAAGTTTTAAAAATAAAAGGAAATTCTAAATTATAATTTACACAATCTATCAAATACAAATTTAAAGACAACACACCTGTTTTCATATAGAATAGCATGGCAACTTATGGAACCAATGTAGGCAAATGTACACCAACTGGCCCTTCAGAATCTTGTTCGTGTAAAATAACCACATCATTTTGAGTAATATCTACCTGTTTCTTAGCCAAGATGTTGACAGATGTGAACTTAGCTCGTTGGTAGGCTGTCACAATGTGAAAACTTAGAAGTCTAAAGAAAAGAATACCAGATGTTCAGCTATTCTTTCAAACTTTCATATACAGATGTTGAGAAAAGATTCTGTGTTTTTGTTTAATATTTTAATATTATTTACATTTCTTCTTTTCAGTAGTTGTATTTTTAGTTGACTCAAGGACTACAAGTCATGATGCAGATTAATGTAAGCAAAAAATTTTTTTCACTTCCATATTGACAGGTAACTAAATGTTTAATAGTAAAATAAAGTTAAAAACTGTCAATGATGACATCTGACTATATTTTAAAGATAAATCATGTCATACATTCTAAATCTTATGTCTGAGTTTAGTAAAAAAATATTCTGAACATTGGTATTTACCGAGACCTAGATATAGAGCTTCACTTCAAGTTGCCAAAAACTTAAGTTTTACAGTATATAATTTCATTATTTCTCCTTTAAAATGCATTTACAGAGTATATATTTTAAGCTTTTTATTTAATGCCTAACTAGTTTGAACTATGTGGACAATAAAATTATAAAAACTGTTACGGCTATACACAAAATGGTCTGAACCAACCATTGTTGAATAAATGTAAGGTTAATTGGTATAAGAAAAATTCAGGTATAAGTACTAATGTATAAAAATGGCATATATTTTAATTGTTTCATGTTTCTTATAGGGTCTTAAAATGACCCTTAAATACATTTGGTATTATACTTTATTTTCACAAGTATTTATTGTAGGATGAAAACATTTCTGAAGAAATGAAAAAAAATTTAAGAGTTGGACAAAGTTTATTCGAAATTAGAAGAAATTTCAATTTTGAGCAATTATTGTAATTATTTGAGCATGAAAGTACATAATAAACTTACCTAAAACAGACTAAAACAACCAGTAAAGCACCCCCAACAGATGCTGTACGTATTGGCACATTATCAAATGTTCTAACAACAACACAAGCCCCTCCAACACAGCTTCCCATCAAAGTGCCAATAGTAACTGTCTGAAACCACTGTCTTGATGTCAATCCTTGTGGTAACCACACTGTTCCTTGTTCAAGGTTGTACTGTAATTACCAGTTTATTCATAAACATTTATACAGATGTTTTTATATAATTAATACATGAAACCATTGGTACCTCGTGAAATTCCATAATTACAGAAAAAAACAGGGACAATTGTACATTTCACAAGTATACCATTTATTAAAAACATGGTTTCCCAAGTAAAGTGATCATCAGCTGTACCTGAAGATGTCTTTACATTATTATGAGAGCAACATCTTTCTATCTCTGTACAGACATATTCAGAACACTATTTATTACCTTGGCATCAGCTAACTGTAACTTCAAGTTAACATCTTCCTAATCTGAAAATGTATTTCCGATAGATACATCCACACACAGATTGACTCTCTTCCTCATATATCTGCCTAATAGATTTCCATGTCACTAGCCTTGAGGAAACTCATGCCGATTTCATGTGTTTTAACGTGAGCTGAGCTGGTGCATGATGATATCATTAAGTGACAAAAGCCCTCCACTAATCTGATGGCAACACAACTTCCAGTAATTCCCCTAATCACTTATACTAGTGGTAACTTCATTCTTTGATGAGGAAACATAAAAATGTGCACCACAAATGAAGAGGACAGGTGAGTATCTATCAGAAATACATTTTCAGATTAGGAAAATGTTAACTTCCAAGATGATAACTCACCTCCTCACACAGATTAGCTAGAATCCCATGTTGAATTGGTGGAGAGGCCAGTGCATAATTTTACCTAGATGAGCTCCCTTCAAAAGATGCTTGAAGGGAAGCCCATGAAGTGTGACACTCCATAGGGCCACACCCATGGGAGATCTCAATTTTGTCTTGACCAGGGTATATGCTTCACCTGGAAGGGTGGAAGAATTGAGCCCCATGTGTTGCACAGATGGGCAGAATATGGACATAACTGTCCAAGCATTTACACACAAATGGTCAATTAGCCAATATATGTAGAGTGGTTGGGGGACATTCAGGATGTATCTTGTATGCTCACCTTGACTCTACTAAACAGACTCTACAGGACATATTCCAGTTGCCCAAGGAGGACATTTTAGTTAAGCAGTATGGGGTCCTATAGTGTGTGTGCTCACCTCAACTCTACTGAACAGACACTGGCAGCAGAAAGAGGGCACAAGTGGTATGAATTATAGTTTAGAAGGGTAACCCACACTACACTGAAAATGTCACCACCATCCCACTTCTAAGCCCAATTGTTGAGGATTCTCCACGGTCCACCACTTCAACAGCTAGGAACTAGAAGGTGGCAAGGGTCTACCATGATCCACTTGATGAAGGGGTGAAGGGGGGAGGATTCACATTGGAGAAACTTGGAGAGATGCACAGATCCTCATTAGACCACCAGCTTAAAAGTTTTTTTTTTACTGGAGACAGTACAGTGGGTGATTGCAAAACCCTATCTTTAAAAGCCAGTAAGCACAAGCCAGGAAAGTGGGGAAAACACTTCCCTGGTGCTGGCTTTTTCTATGATAGTCCATGGAATAGGTAATATTTGGATCTAACAATTGAGTAAAGATATATATACCAAGAGAATACCTCAAGTGGACTTCTGTAACTCCCCATCTTCCAATGGGCACTGGTAGAGCCAGGGTAAATGGTATGAGCACTTTCCATTATCTTGGCTCAATGTGGATTTTGGGTATGTATACCCTGGGAAGCAACACCAACCACCTGGTGGGATCCTATGAGATGAAAAGGGGTTTTGAACTGAACATTGTACTTATCTATCTAGAGAGAGTGGGTTGATTGAAGAATGATGATCGGAGGAAGTTGAAAACCCTCAGGAGGCACACAGTCAGATAGTGAAGATAATGAGCGACAAATTTGATGTGAAGGAATGTGGAATAGCCTGCAAGTGTTCATACAATAATTCATATACCAACCAGAGAAGTTTATGGATCCACCCAGTAAGGGTAAAAGGAAAGAGGCCCCTGGAAGAAGAGGGGTCCCAGAATATGAAGAAACGAAGACAGGGACCCAGAAAAAGGGAGGTATGTGATAAGTAACCTCAACCAGCCTGAACAGCCAATTTGGGTCTGAATGATCATAGAGGTGAGATAGAAGGATGAGAGATACGACAGAAAATGCAATCACCTTCCCGAGTGTCAGTAGTCTTAGGAAGGAAAAAAACTGATCTGAACAGAGAAATATATATTTACAATGGAAAAAGTGCAAGAAGAATCAACTATATAGATATCTGTAGGACAACAACCCCAGGTGAAAAGGAGGAGGAAATAAGTCTTAAAAGAAAGGTAGTATAAAGGGCAAGAATCCAATGGCTTGATTGATGTATGAAACAACTGTAGAATTGTCTGAAGGGATCATGACCAAATGATCCAACAGATACGGCATGTTACTGGAACATGTCCTATGGTCAGCAAGTAGTTTGAGCACATTGATGTAAAGTGAGCATTCATCCTGTGTCCAAAGGCCAGAAGCCATTATGTCATTCAAAGATACTTCCCAAACTAGGAAGGAAGCACCAGTGAATAGGAGAAGGTCCAGTCTGGGGAGGAGACAAGAGAACTTTGGAGGTGGTGTTGAAACAGTCCAGCTATCAAGACAGTTCCAAGAGTAAGGGGAGGCAGGTGGACAGTCTAGAACAATGGATCTTGTGAAAAATACCACTAGTCTTGCAACATCAATTAGAGGAAGCATATGTGTGTGTGTGACCTAAAGGAATGAGTGGTTCCAGGAAAACCAGAATCCACCAAAAAGATAAATCTATTGTGCAGGATGAGAAGGAGAAGCATGAATCTTGGTGACCAGACACTCCCTAGCTTGCAGGTGAAGAGGAGAAGGCTGAGCTCGGCTGAGATGAGAAGTGAAGAAAAATCCCAGGTGTATAAAATACTGGATGAGCATAAGAAAGGATTTGGATACCTTGACTAGCAACCCAAAATTAGCAGCCACATGAAGAAGAAGAGAAGTGTGAAGGGAGGAGTCCTCCTGAGAATGGACTAAGAGAAGCTAATCACCCATATAAAAATGGAATCACAGACTCAGTCTGTGATGAGGGTGAGCAAAGGCCCTCACAATGTGGATGAATACATAAGGGGCCAATGCAATGCTGAAAGAAAGGACATTGAACTAGAATATGTGATTTCAGTGGACAAAGCACAGAAACAAAAACATCTGAAGGAAGGAGCAATCGGGATGTAAAGGAATGCATCCAAAATGTCAACCTGGATGAAAAGGACCAACAGAGAGAAAAAGAAAATTTCCATCCAAAAGTGCAAAACAACTAGCAAGTGATTGAGAGAGGAAAGGTCGATTACCAAATGTCAGTCCCCAGTCTTCTTGGGGATCAAAAAGGGATGAGAGTAAAATCCCAGAGAAAGATAGTATAACCTCTCAATTATCTGGTACTGCCTTCTCAAGATGTTGAAGACAGAATCAAAGGAAGGAAAAACTAAATGGAACAAGAAAAGAGAGGGTGGAAAAGTGAGGAGATAGTCCATGAGTGTGGACTTGAATAACCCATCTCTCAGCAGAAAACTGTGACTGGAGTCTGCAAACTATGACAAATGGAGATCCTGATCCAACAGAATAGTCACCAGCAAGTCTTGTGGCAAACCTGACGGCAGGAAGAGGGTGTACAAATAGAGAAGGAAGGCTTGGAAGATGGAATGGAAAGGTGAGGAAAAGAGGGACCAAGTCAAGGAATAGGAGTAGAAGGACAAGGTTGTGAAATATGAGAAACCAAAAAAGGTTGTGAAGACTGGTGTCAGGCTTCTTCATTCCATGATTCTAAAAGAGACAGAAACATCACCAAAGATATCTGAGCAAAGAAAAGGAATATGAAAAATATCACAGAGGAAGGAAGTAGATAGACATACTGGAATGTGAAGAGTATCCCTACCTCACAAGTCCCAACATCAGAGGAAACAAAGAAGTGTGGATAATGCAGAAAAAAGTTTATAGGCTATAGTAGTGAATAGAAGGGTACAAAGTTTCATCTAGAGTGTGATGAAGCATCTCAGACATAAAGTGCAGGGAAAAGAGGTAACGAAGAAGGATAGTAAGAAAAAGACAAAGATTGGAAAATTGAGGACTGTAGAGTGAAACAGACAAGTAAGATATTACAAAGATTGGAATGCAAGAAAAGAAAAATTAGAATGGCTATAAGCCAAGACATGATAATAAGGTATGCAAAGAGGGTAAGGCATATGGTTATGAGTAAGAAATTGTTCCAGAAAGGAGTCAGCATGAACACTAATGTCAGGTGAGAGATGAAAAAACAAAATAATCATGTGGACTAGGGTTGTGAAGCATTATAAGACATAGGGAGAAGTCAAAGAATTTAAAACACCTGTAAGAACGAGTCTTGAAATACAGTGGAAGATTAAGGGATTTCCAGGACAAGTAGTGATGTACGTAAAGCAAATCCAAAAGGAGGTATCAGGTGATTGAATTTGTCTTCATCAATTTCAAATTTAGGAGAAGAGATGCCAGAAAAATAGATGGGAGCAGCATGCATAATGGACCTCACAACCCATTGTAAAATGGCTTTCATGTCATTCTCAGTTAACAATCCTCCTGAAACCATAGAAGTCACATATGGTGGTGTACATATTACAACTCCAAAAGTACTTAACACATTTGCTACTGCTGCAGCAATTTTAACTTATGCGCTAAGCTACATTTATTATTGCTTAAGGGCCAAAACTTTAACAACAGTTAGAAGTGATCACATCATAACATTTTTCACAATGCCCATGATCTAAAGAATGCCAAATAATTTTCTCATTTCAGATTAATCAGTTGCAGACCACTGGCACATTCTGCTTTTAGGCTTTAGGCTGTTCAATTTCAAGAACTGTTCATAACACATAAATTAAAGTTTCATTAACTATTGCAAATCTTAGCAAATTGAAGTCTAAAAAAATCTTAAACACTTCTGTGTTGTTCAGTGTCATGGAAAGGATGAAGTTATTACAAGTGCAAGTACATAGGGAGAGTTTACTGTACATAGAGATTATGTCACCCTCATATTGGTGGAGGGTTTTTGTCACATGACATTATCATGCACCAATGCAGTTCATGCTAAAAAGTGTGAGAGTTGCTTCAAGGCTATGTGGAAGATAGCTAATCTGAGTGTGGAGACGAGTTATCCTCTGGGCTTGCTTGTTTAGAATTAAGCACAAATCTATTCAATGAGCTATCTGTGCTCTGCCCACCACGGGTATCGAAACCCAGTTTCTAGCTTTGTAAGTCCGCCGACATACCGCTGTGCCACTAGGGGGCTATCCTCTTGGAATGAAGAGGTTTCACTAAGAGTAAACAAAATACGAAGCAGATATAGTAGTTCATTGAAATCAAGATTCACATGCGGAATGAACTTTTATCATTCCAATATCTTGATTTCTAACAGAAACAGCTTTATGTTTCATTGAATCTTAGAAAGAGTGAGTCAAGCTTAAAGGAGTTAATTCTATTAAACATAATAATTATTTTCTATTTGTGAGAACTCACCTGATCATTACAAACTTTACACTTCATGTTGTCTGTATTTTCAGAAGACTGTAAAAATGTTACAATAAGTAAATTATATGTATTTTTCAACACAAATACATATATTTATGTCATATTAACAATGTATTTTTCAGTTAATTGTACTTGCAAAATGCTATATTAATGAGTTTGACATTCTGCAAAGTAATTTGAAACTAAAAGGCTTAAGAAATGTCAATAAAAGATCGCAGAATAATATTTTATATATCAGATTTCTGAGAATTCACGTCTGAGCTGTGTGAATTAGAACTTTAACATCTCCATTTACTCTATTCTTTGCAAAATGGTAGGAATTTTAATTTTGTAATCATTTAACTTTTTCAAATACACTATGCTTCATATATATCTATACATCCACATAATTTTTCAATTGCAGCATTTAAGAGAAATGTAACATATTAGCATCACTGTTTACAGTGAACAATACTTTAATAAAGATATTTACATCACTGATATATGACAATGAACTTATCTCTATAGTCCCATAAGTTCTCTCCCTACAAAAAACAACAGTTTGAATAAATATTGTACATTTTTGCTTCTCATGCAAAAAAATGTGTATTTGTTCAAACTTATTGTTTCAGCTTAGTTTACAGCTGCTTAATGTAGGTATTTTCATTCTCATCACGTTAAGCTAAGATATAAGTTTATTGGAACTGTACTGAATAAAATCTAGTTGAGATAACTTTACAAGTTTAAGTATAAACACTCATTTGAGTTATATACAAATTTCTCAACCATTACAACATTTTAAGCTTTAATGTTTATAAAATCCTTTACTGATATCACTTTTGTCTTAGCTAATTTTCTTAGCATACATACTCTCACATATTTCCTACTATTCTATCCATAAATATCAGAACTGTGCCTAAATAATACTATGTAGATAATAGCAATATCTTACTACTATGATATTTCACTGATATATAGGGATAAATATACACTCAAAACATTCAAAACCTTTCTAAAGTCCAAGGGCTTTAGTACTGTTCAGTATGAGAGTTAGTTCAAGGGCTTCGGTATTGTTCAGTATGAGAGTTAGTTCAAGGGCTTCAGTAGCATTCAGAATGAGAGTTAGTTCAGGGGCTTCAGTAGTTCAGAATGAGAGTTAGTTCAACGGCTTCAGTAGTGTTCAGTATGAGAGTTAGTTCAAGGGCTTTGGTATGTGTTCAGCATGAGAGTTAGTTCAGGGGCTTCGGTATTGTTCAGAATGAGTTTCAGGGAAATCACACACACACACACACACACAGAGACATGACAAAAAACGTTGGTTTTAAATTATTTGTGTTATATGTTGAATACAACTTAACCTCTTAACTCTAAGGCAGTCCTCTGATGCCTACAAGATTTATGTAACATTACTTGAGTTCCCAGTAATCAACTTCTCACCCCCACTGAAAAAAGTAAATTAATTTAAATTTTTTTAATGCTTACTTTTCACTATTTGTAAATCCCTTTCTGCTATTAAAATAATAGATTAACTAATACTAACCTCAACTAACCACTTCTTTAAACAATCGTGGTGAACAGAAGCAACATCACCTCTACACTGACAAGGTTGAATAAGAGGGCCAGCATCCTGTCGTTCGGTGTCATAACAAATCCAACATTCAACAGCTTTCTCTGCTCCTACACTTGAATCTATCAAAACATACCAAGACTGCTCTAAGTCTCTAACTTATTATATTATTGTTTAAAAACCAGATACAAAGCAAAAGAAATTTAATCCATTTATTGCCTGCTTAATGTTTGGATTTAACCTCAAAAATAGTGGTCTGGGAGGAATAGCAGTAAAAATAATCGGTGTATTTTCCCTCAGTAAACATTTCCCTAAGGTACCACATCTTATGTGACATTTTGAGAAAGGCTGATGGCCAATAACCTGATAATGCCCCTTCGCTACACTTTGAAAATACATGTACATCAGATTGAAGCTTTTATGAAAAAAAGCAAAAATAGCTTAGGTCACAAGTATAATAAGAATATGGTCCAACAAAACAATAAAAAAAAAACTTGTTTAATAGATGGATCAGTTAAAGTTAGCTAAATACATATTAAAGCAGTTTTTAAAGTCGCAGAAAGAGCCTTGTATGAACAGAAGAAGCTATAAAGAATTACATTCTTCGAAATAAATTGTAATAACATTGTTTAAATCTAGACTAAGCAACCAGGAATTTAAATTTTTCACCAATGGATGGATTTTAGAATATATAAACGTTTCACTCAATGGTCAATGTTTAAATATAACATACCTGTTTTCTCAGTGCCTTCCCTCAATGGAAAGATGTGTGTATAACTCTTGACTTTTGAAGCCTCAGCTTCTGACTCCAGCTTTTTTAAAATATTCTGAGGGTTTAGGATCCACAACTCTTCTGGCCTGAAAACAAATACAAGATTTGATGTGTGTATGTGTATACATATATATCAGTATAATGATAAATTAGCTTAAAATCAACTACTGCACACATATGTATGTGTGCGTGTGTGTATGAATATATATATTCAAAACATATATTAAAAATTTAATCAAACAACTGCATTATAAATTTATGTTAATAAGCTTGGCATTGAAAGATAGTTAATAATATAAATTATTATTATATTATCTAAGTTTTAAATTCAAAATGAGCTCTGAATTACCCATTTTAGATTTTCTCTCTACCCTTATATGATGAAACATCACAAGAAATAATATACAACTGACAAAATGTATGCTAATATTTACTGTAATGGGCTATCTAACAATTCAGTTTTGAAGTTTGTTTGTTTTTCATTTAAATCACATTTGAGAATTATAAAGAAATGTGGAAAGAAAAAATATTAAGTTCATGTAACTGGATTGAACATACATATACATTCATTAATATATATATATGATATGTAAATGCATTAAGTTGAGAGGCCAAACTGATTCCATTACCTGACACAATTCCACAGAGCACAAGGAAACCAAAGAGCAACTCCCATTTCCACAACTCTAAACATTACATCATAAAAGTTGCGGCTCAGTACCGGGATCCTAAAAATAAAATACAATACCATTCTAAAGAAAAACAAGAACAGTAACTAAATATTGTTAAGAACTTTATAAGCAATATTTCATATATACTAATCTATCAACAATTGTCCAGATGCTATAGGGATGGATGTTAGTGATCACTGCCTAATAAGGTTAAGCAATGTCCCTGGTTTAAATAACTATCACATTCTTCTACAATCACTGCATAGTGGCTACAATAGGTCTTTGATACAATTTTCTTTACTTTTTTTTCCAAAATTAAGTCACTTAATATCAAGTGAAGGGTTTTGACCTAATGCCTTAAATTAAACTATCCAGAAGGTCCCAAATATGTATCATAATATTTAAGATCTGGACTCTAAGGGCAGCCATTTCTACATCATGATGAATACTTCTAAATGAAACAGGTATCATACGTGCTATTGGCAGAGAACATTTTGTCAGACAACACTTCAGTATGCTCACCAATGGCTCTGCCTTCACTCTTAGAATTTACCTAATTCACAAAGTTTTAGCATTTTATATATATTAAACCATTATAATACATTGATAGCTTTTTTTTTAAGTTTGAGGGGGTTGTGTTAAAATTAACAATCAGCAAGTGATCGGAGTAACAACCTTTAATCAACAAAAACATTTTTAAACACAAACCCTTTAATTCTAACCTACAGCTTCCTTTTTCATAAAGCTACAATATAAATTACAAGCCATGTGATCTTACTCTTTTTAAAGCTAAACAGTATGACTCAATGTGATATACTGTATTTTCAATAATGTTACATCCACACCATCATACTAATACTTAGTGTCTCAAATAAATTTTTTCAGAATATGTGTTTGCCTCAAACATTACTGGTCTAAGTGACTTGCAATTATCATACTGCTAGGCCTAACCATCAATATCAAACATTTTCTAGGTACACGATAAATTATGATAAACAGTTGCTTATTATAAATACAAAAGTAGATAATTGTGATTCCAATAAATAATAATAATAATAATAATACTTAAAGAACACTCACTTGTCTTTCCAAAAAGTACCAAGCTCATCTGAAATAATAAATGCTACAGTAACCAAAAGCAAAAGGGCATGCGAAATCAGACCAAACCTCGACTGACTAAGTTGTGATGTGTCTGGAGGTGCAAGAGAGCCCTCTGCAAACCCACCATGCATCTGGAAAGAAGTAATGGAAAGCTAACATTTTCCTTACTTGAAAATATATTTCTTAACGATACTCACCTCTTCACACAGAATAGCTTCTTTCCTGTTGAGTTCTCATGATCTGTGAAAACTCCCACTTAATCTCATGTGTTTGTTTGTAATTAAGCACAAAGCTACACAATGGGCTATCTGTGCTCTGCCCACCACGGGTATCGAAACCCATTTCTAGCATTTTAAATCCAAAGACGTACAGCTGTGCCACTGGGAGAGGCTAATCTCATGTGAAACCATATGAATTTTTGCCACTACATGATGACATAATGATGCAGCAGAACCTTCCATCAATAAGAATATGACACATCTGCATGTGCAATGGTTCCCTTTACATTCACGCTTACAGAAGTGAGTATCTATAATAAATAAATTTTCAGGTAAGAAAAATTTTAACTTCCAAAATAAATATGCCACACACAGAATAGCTGGAATCCCATGTTGAGATGGTGGAGCAACCAGGATAAAGATTACCTAGATTAGTTCCATTCAGAAAGCATCTGAAGAAAACCCATGGGGTGCAACACCAATGGCATGAGCTCCACAGGGGCACACCTATGGAAGACCAATCTTGTTTCGTCTAGGGTATACTCTTTGCCCATGTATGAGAATAGAAGAGGCAGAAAAGAAATGTCACAAGGATGGGCAGAATAGGTACATGGCTGTTTGAATACTGGCACACAGGCTATCAGACAGCCAGTATGTGTAGTAAGGTAGGGGCTTGTTCAGACTATACTATGTGCTCACCTCCTCTACCATCAGTCACTATGGTTGCCATGCCAGCTGCAGGAGGAGGGCACTGTAAGGAACTATATTAGTGTACATACTTATATAAACCTATACTCAACCATCAGACACTACAGGCCTTTTGCCTGTTGTGAGAGTATGATGCATCCTTGGTGTATATGGTGTGGTCACCTCAACTCTACCTTCAGTCCCTATAGGCCCCATTCCAGTTGCGAGAGGAGGGCTATGTATTAAATATACATACACTCGACCATCTGTCTCTATGGGCTACACACCAGCTACAGGAGAGGAATGTTGTTTGTTTGTTTTTCCAGTACAATGTGGAATGAACTGGAAAGAAAGTCATCACCTTGACTCTACTGAACAGACTATGGCTGCAGGAGGAGGAATTGTATGATAAATAGGTATGTAAAGGATTGAAATAGCGAGTTGTAACATTGGTGTACCTAAGGATTGTGGTGTATTATAGTTTTACATGTGGTGCGACCTGCACTACACTCTAGTATCACTCCAGCCCCACTTCTCACCATAGATGGATCCCTTGTTCTAGCCCCAGCCAGTGAGAATTCTCCATGGTCTACTAGCCCAGTGGCTGGAAACTGATAAATGGCAAAGGAGAATTTGCCTAGGGGAGACCTGGAGACCTGTGGTGTATTATAGTTTTACATGTGGGGTGACCTGCACTACACTCTAGTATCACTCCAGCCCCACTTCTCACCATAGATGGATCCCTTGTTCTAGCCCCAGCCAGTGAGAATTCTCCATGGGCTACTAGCCCAGTGGCTGGAAACTGATAAGTGGCAAAGGCGAATTTGCCTAGGGGAGACCTGGAGAATTTCCGCAGATCCCCCATCAGTCCTTCAGCCCAGAACGGTCTTAAGAACGTGCAATGGATGACCACAAAACCCAATTTTTAAAACCACCATGCATGAGTCAGAGAAGTGAACAGAAACACAATTCTGGTGCTGGTTTTTTCCATGATAGTCCATGGAATGGGTAGGGTCAAGAATGGACATGAAAAGTAACAAAACATATAAAGAAATACCACGAGTAAATGTCTAGTTGTCTTACAGAGCACTCCATCTCAAGGTGGGCACTTGTAGAGCCAGGCCAAATGGTATGAGCTCTTTGCATTATCCTGGCTCAATACAGATTTTGGGAGACAACACTAGCCACCTAATTGGATCAAATAGTAAATTAGTGGGGAGTAAGAAAAATAAAAGTACATTCACTTGCTTAAAGTCAAAAGGTGAATTAAAGGATAGTGATGGGCAGAAGTCTAAGTTCCACCAGAAATGAGACACCCAGGTGATGTCGATAGTGGGTAACAAAAGTTGTGTGGGGTAGTGCACATGCCAGCATGGAGAATCTTCTCTAGAGGATGGTGAAAATGGTCTGCAAGAGAATGTGCGAAAGGAAAAACGAAAGAGCTGACAATCATTCACCTTCAAAACGTAGGAAACCAGATGGATGAGCTGGCAGATCCATTCAGTAAAGGTGGTGGAAGAGAGATCTCTAATAGGGAGGGATCCCAAGGAATGAAAAGACACTGACTGGAACCCCAAAAGGAGGAAGTACAAGACAGATAGCAACAAATGACCCAGACAGGACCCAGGGGTCTAACCAGGTGAGAACGATCAAAGGAATGTGGTATGGGAAAAAGGTGTGACCATCTCCCTGAGAAACAGAAGTCTTCAAAAGGAAGGTCCCGTGGGGGCAAAGAAGAAGTTATGTGTGGTGGTAGAGAGTACGGGAGGTACGGGCCTCAGGCACGAAGGAAATATGATTTTAGAGAGAGGTAATATAGGGAGAACGTGGTAAGAGATTTGAAAGCATGAAAGGGTGAGAGCATGAAGAACTACATTCAGGTCCCAGTTGGGCAAAGAAGAATGGATCTGTTGATAAGGGAGGAATGGAAGAAGATGGTAAGAGAGGGAAAAAAAAAATTTTGGTTGTACTAGGAAAGGTGAAATGTGGTACATAACACTGCCCAATAACCTATAATGATACAGACAAGCCACAGTCTAATAGCCATATAAAGAAGGAGGTAAAATGTTGTAAGGTAGGCTGGCCAGGGGCAAAAGGGTGAAGGATAAACCAACAATGATAAGCATGCCATTTATGTTGGTATACAGAAGAGATGAAAGGGCAATAACAGTGGAACGGAAAAACACTACATGATCAGATAGTCCAGGAGGACGTACAGCGGATGGGCATAAAGGAAGAGATAGGACCAGTCCTGACTGAGGGCATCAACAGTTAGGGCTGGAGGGTGAAGTACTGGATACCAAAAGTGGGGAAGTTTGGTATTAAGGGGTGCAGCAAAAGCATTTATTTCGGGAGTTCTGAGTTGGGAACAGATCCAATAGGATGGAGAATGGAGGGACCATTCCATAGGTAGGATGTGGTCTCATCAAGAATGATATTCACTGTACCCAGAAGATGACAGGCTATTAAACTCACCCATTTGGAATGGGCCCAAGAGAGGAGGTCCAATGTCTGAAACCAAAGGGTTCTGCACCAGGTTCTTCCTTAGTAGCTGATATGAGACATCACCATGAAATTGTTGGAGTAGATCACCAAATGATCCACAACGAGGAGAAGCAAATGATAGCATGCCAGACAGACAGCGATCAGCTTTTCCAGGGACCAAGAACCCAAAATTAGACAGTCACTCATGGGTGCTCTTCATTCAGAGAGAGAAATTCCATAAAGAGGTGAAGGTCCAGCTTAGAAGGAGGCAAAGAAACGTCAGAGGTGGTGTTGTAGCAGTCTAGCCACCAAGCAAGAATCCCCAGTAGAGAAGGAGTGAGGAAGACTGGTGAGGACAGTTGATACCTGGAAAGGTTCTACTGGAGGAGAAGCAAATGACAGCATGCCAGACAGACAGTGAGCAGCTCTTCCAGGGACCAAGAACCCAAAATTAGACAGTTCATTCAGGTGTGCTCTTCATTCAGAGAGAGAAAGTCTGTAAAGAGGTGAAGGTCCAGCTTGGGAGGAGGCAAAGAAATGTCAGAGGTGGTGTTGTAGCAGTCCAGCCACCAAGCAAGACCCCCCTGATTGTGCAATGCCTTATGTAGGAGATGCATATGTGCACAACCAAGTAGAATGAGGGGTTCCAGAGGAGCTATGGTGGTCCATAAAAGAGATAAAACCTCTCATGCAGAATGTGAAGTGAGGCACAAACTTTGGTGACCAGATACTCGAGGCCTTGTAAAAGAATTGGAGAAGGTTGGGCACAGCTGAGGTGAGAGTTGAAGAGAATCCCCAGGTGGATGAGATATTGGGTCAGGGTAAAAAAAAGACTTGGAAATCTTGATGAGCCTCCCTAAATGAGCAACTTCATGATAAACAGATGTGTCTTTGGAGGATTCTGCATAGAAATGGGCGAGTAAAAGCCAGTCATCCATATAAAAATGAAATCACAGACCCAGGCTCTGAAGATGTTGAGTGAAAGTCTGCATAATACAATTGAAAACATGAGGCCAATGCTCTTCTGAATGGAAAGGCACAGAACTGGAAAATGTGATCCCCATGGACAAATTAGAGAAATATTATGAGAATGAGGTGATCGAGGTGTAGATAAAAGCATCCAAAACATTAACATGCTGATCTGGTAAAACCAGCAAAGAGAGAAAAATTCTCAATCTAAAAATGTGAGATGATCAAAGAAAGATTGATGGAGGAAAGTTGATAATCAAGCACCAGTCCCTGTTCTTTTTGGGGACAATATTGAGGCAATCCAACATTAGCCCCTTCCAGAAGTTGAAGGTAAACAAGATAGGATGGGTGTCAAAAGGCAACAGGTTGTTAAAGAAAAGGAGGAAGAAAAGTGAAGAGAAAGATAGTGGGAAAGAACTTGTATAGCTTATATGTCAGCACAGAAATGTGTCCACATGTCTGTAAACCACAGGTGAGACATCAGATCAAAGTAGTACAGGAAGCAGTGGAAGGTCAGAAGGCAGGAATAGAATGGGGAGCAGGAGAAAGTAGAGGGACAGAAGTGGAGTGGAGAAGTTGAGACAAAGAGAATAGTAAAGAAAAAAAGGAAGATTGATGGTAGGCAGCTTCAGCTCATGATTCAAGGGAATTATGGATGCACCAAAAACCTCAGACAAAGAAAAGGGGTAAAACAAAGGTCCTGGAGGAAGGGAGATTAGACTTTCCAAAAGGTCCCAACAACAAAGGAACCAAGTGAGAAGAGAATGGGCAGAGGAGGTGGAACAGGCCATTGTAGAGAAGATAAGCATTCTAGATTCCCCAGAAAAGTCATCAGAGGAAGGATGAAGTGCTTCCATCATAAAATAAAGGGAAGAGAAGCACCTACAGAGGGTAGAGAGAAAGGCTACATGTCAGGAAGTTTGTGCATTAGACAGGGAAACAGCTGATAATGAATCTGCCCCTGAAACAGGCAAGAGTGACTCCAAAGACTAAGTGTTGATGAATGGTTTGACTGACCACATGCAAGAACATAAGAATCAGTCAGGTGAGGGGAACGAGGCATAAGGTTGCAGGAATGAAGTTGACCTAGAAAGGAATTAGCATGTACAGAAATGTAAAGGGAGGGGAGAAAACAAAGAAATCATGAGAGGAAGGGTTATGTACTAAATAAAAGGAAGAGTCAAAGGATACGGGAAAGAGAAAAAGAACTGTTCATACCCGAGTAATAAGGTTTTGAAAATCCAAGGAAGATTGAGTATTTTTCAGTAGATAAGGACATTTCCAAAGCAATGGACATGGAAAAAGGCACTCAAATTCGTCCTCTATAACTTCAGATATAAAAGAATGGAATTGGAAGTAAATGGTCCTGGCTGCATCATGGACTCTACCACACACTGTACAATGGCCATCACATCTTCCATGGATAAAGAACTTCCCAACAAATTATTGGTATTTTGTTCAGGGTGAGGAATATCTTCACTCACATCAGGAGAAGAATAGTTCACAGTTTAGTGAGTATATTAAAACTCAATGAAGCACAAATGTAGAGGGAGTCATTGTGCACAGAAGTGTGTCACACTCCTATTGATGGATGGTTCTGCTGCATGATTACATCATCATGCAGTGGGGCAAATTTATGTGGTTTCACGTGTGATTAAGTGGGAGTTTTCACAAGGTTGATGGCTTGCAAGTCTCTCTGGCAGATTACACAAACTCATGAAGAAAAAAGCAATTCTGCATAAAGAGGTGAGTATTCATCTTGGAATAATATATTTTTTCTTTTAACAATTACTTATACACATATTCTTTGTCAATCACATATTAACTCAGTGATATTTCTACTAAGTTTGCAAAATTTAAAATTTATACAAAATTACTAGTTTAATCAGATAGGCACAGATGATGACAATATTAAGTGATAAGTCAAAATCAGTCCAGTTAATTATCATCCTACATTCTTGTTCAGTCAGTCATCTCATTGCCACAAATGAAAATATTTTATTTGTGGCTAAACAACTAATTAACAAACAGTCTGCCATAGTGATGAAAGCATTACAAAGCACAATAGCTTTTAAATTTTAATCCCAATTTTTTCTTTAAAATGTATGCAGTGTATCAGTAATTACAGGTTGCTTTATTTTATTACAAGTCAGCCTACATATGACTGCATAACAAACATTTTGCCAGACAGGAAACTTCAATCTACAACAGTAAAATAGCTCAGTCACTGCTTGGGGTAGCTTTTTGAAAATTTGAAAGTTCTAAATTATGTTTAAATTTGTTTTGAGTTGCTTTACCCACAGTAGCTAACAAAACAAAACAATATCTGGAACATACCAACCTTTAAAAAAAGTAATGTGCCCAAACAAAAAATTAAGTTAATCTATGATACAAAGTTTAAATGAACTTGACCATTACTGAAAGAAATAATTTCTAATTGTACTTACAACATGAAATCATGGACATGAAAAATGGGTAATGAGGTTAATTTACATAACCTGTTGTCATACACATATACATCAAACATGATTTTAGAATATTTAACAAAATAAATATTACATGACCAAACACTCTACATTATCACATTTCAAAAATAAAATGTACACTAAAGTTATACTTCGTTGTTTAAGACACAATGTTACTTACTTTGAAATACATCTGAACACCATAGATAAGAAAAAACACAACCACCACAACTATCAAAAAAGCAAAGAGTCCATTAAAAATCCTTGTGAAGAAAATCTGGAGAGAAAAAACATTGTAATAGTTAATAAATTAAACATTTCACATCACAAAAATTGTAAATGTTAAACAATAAAAAAAATTCAGAAAACAAATTAGTTGAAACAGTCAATTCACATCACAAAATAAATACTTAAAGCTGGTCTATCTAGCATTGAAGTTTACATGTAAACTCATGTATGTTCTATGACCATTCTTGTGCTTAATTTCATAAAATAACAAAGCACATTAAACATTTAAAAATACACAATGATTTATTGCAAAAGGTTAAAATCAAAATCTACTTTTAATTTCATACAATAAATTATTGTGTATTTTTAAATGTTCAATGTTCTTACTTATTTCATACATGTAAACTACTTCAAAATGCTTTTGATGCAATTCTCACAGAACTGTTGTCAAAATGTGTCAAGGATGTGGAAATTAAACGGTTTCTCCAAATTCAGAAAAAAATTTGAAATATAAGTCTAATTACCAAGTAAAGTTATGGAAGTGTATTATTCAAATATTAGCAATATAAGCTAAGTATCAAAATTATGATTATTCTAAAACAAAACAAGATTAGTTAAAAGATAAACTTCTATACATTTTTTTAGGAACAATGCAATACACCTTATATTCCTAAAACCTAGAACTATGCAGGATAACCTTAAGACAAAATTTCTTGTCAACAAAAGTTTTAGTAATTTAAAATGTCTCTTCTCTCCTTTAATCATAGACCAAAACAACAAGCACTTAACCCTTATTTCTTCTTTAAAAAATCAATGATATCTGTTATAATTATATTTTTTCTTTCTTATTTTCCACAAAATTATTGTTCAACAGTTTAAGAACATTTTCCATCCTGTTATATTTTTATTATTATTATTTACCATCAATTTCTAATTCTTTCATTTGTACTAAGTAATTGTTGTTTTAACACCCTGAATTAATTGTGTACTTTAATTTTAGAAATATAAAATCAGTTTTACATGGTGTATTACTTTTTATATGTTTTGAATATTTAATTTGTTATTACATGTACATAAAAACAAACTCAGTAAGAGCTTAAAAAGAAAAGTTGCTTAAACACACATTCAAACAATCAGAGTGAGTGTAAACTATTTCTGCTTCCTAATAATAAAAATAGTCACATACGAGCATCTTCATTAAACATAAAACATTAACATCTCTCATTTGTACCAAAAAGTAAATACCATTATAACAACAATCACAATTGAAGAAATCACAATACTTGCAAAGTGTGAACAAGCAGCTTTTTATACTTATAAGATCCCCTTGCAATGAGTCAGTTTACTTTGTACAAAATTCAGCTGATGCAGTGCATAGTAGTAGCAGTGCTTAGGTTCAAGAAGACCATGCATAACTAGTAATTTCTTTCATTAATATTTAGTCCTAAGAAAACATACTTGCTAACTCCCACTTGTTATAATTTTTATACCTTGATTGCTGAACAAGATCACATAGAATCTTTAAAGCATTATCTCTCATCTCCAAAGTCATAACAGATAACAGAGACAAAGATAATGATTGCTTAACTACACAACATGCGACATATTAGGCAAATAACATAATACTGGAAACTACACTAGATCATTAGAACTGAGTGATTTAATTAATTACTTACAAGCAGGAATTATATTGATTACTGTCACGTAAACTAATCAATTAATAAAGAATAGAGTTTCCAATTATTACAATTTTCAATTATTCCAATGAATCAATTAATTTAAATTACAATGAAATGTCATAAAAAAATAGCTAATTGAGATTAGTGTTTTCAATTATTCAAACTACCCATCAAAATATTGCTATGTTTGTGTACATAGCTACATAATGGGTTATCTATTAGTTATTTAACCTAACTTTGTTGATTTGTGTGAGGGAGACTCACGATTCAAGGATCTTGGGTTTGATTCCTATTGCTACTAAACAGAACTTGCTCATACTGTCTGTTTTTCTTTTTGACCTCTTGACTAGAAGGAAGGCAAATGACTGAAACCATTCACTGCCAACTACTTTTTTGCTTGCACATACTACGATTTGAGGAGCACTGTACTAGTCTGTTAATTAAATGTAACTGATTAATGAAACTGAACATTAGCAAAGCCCACTAATTATCCAGCTCTGTATATAACACTCAAGTTCAAATACATGTCCATTCTTAGTGAACAGAGTTGCATGTTCAAGTCACTTTTTTGACTACTTCAGAAAACTTATATTTTTACAGAGCAGTGTGTGCCACCCTTAAAGTTTATATGCATGTTCATTGATTGTTACAGTTAGAACTAAATAAAAAATACTCTGTATATTTTACTATTCCTGTTCTCAGTAACTTTCAAATTGTTACAAAACTTTCTCTGTCCTACTCACCTTTTCACACTCATTATGGATATCCAATTGCAACAATACAAGTTCAGCCAATAAGAGAGAGTATGTGATGACATTAAAGGCTAAGAATCCCAGAAACGACTTATTCAGAAAACGAGGTTTATCTAGTCTCAAGTTTCTCAAGTGGAAAATCTGTAAATTTTCAAATTAATTTCTTTAAAAACAGCCCACAAAAAATAAACAAGAAGTCTTACTTGTACTTCAAATGCTACTTTTAATTAGTCTCTTCAAAAATAAAAAAAGGAAAAAAGACAACATGGCTTGTTTGAAATCATAGGTGCTTCATATAAATTGAAAAAGACATACATATATACACACACACAAACATACACAGTGTTCAAAATGGGAACTTAAAAGTCCGGGTTTGAATCTATACTAGTCCATTAAAACATTCTTTAAAGTGCCAACATACATGTTTTTTGTTTTCAGAAGTGCTAGTACAGCATACCTTTATATACCAGCCCATTTTAATCACCGTGTAAATATTATCAGACTTTGTGAAAAAAAAAAAATTTTGTTGAGAGTAAGAGAATTAAAAACTAATTTAAAAAATTATTTATCTTAAGCTTGTTTGGAGTACATTGATGGTAGAAAATTTAGTTTGGGAACTAAGCAATACCAATAAATGACCTAATAATTGTCAAATATTTTCATTTGCTATTTTGTTGGTCTGTTACATAAAAATTTTAATATATGCATATAAGTATACAAAACTAAAAACTGAAAAATAACTATTCTGACCATGAGGACCCTAAATTTTGAAAAAAATAAGCCCCTTTAAATTAGTTAGGACAACAGACCTTAATGGATTTTTCTGGCTAACAAATACAAGGAAATCCATTGTGAAAATGAGTGATCCTAGCTACAAAAAACATTATATAGTGTTGTTTTTAAAGTGGACTATGTAATTGGTTCATTTTTCTTCGAAGTTAACTTCATAATTGAGCCTTATCAGTTATAAGTTCCTTATTACTAAATTTAGTGGTAACAGCTAATGGTCTCATGGTGGAACTGCTCTCTACATGTTTACAAGTTGACTGTGGATAAAGTTAAGACAAAAACATTGAAATGCAGGTCATAATTTCACAGTTTCAATAATTCATATTATAATTTTAATATTTGAAAAATGATGTAGTCTATAAATTGACTTACATTCAAAAGTAAATATGTTTTAGTCAACTTCCAATCAAATTCTTACTTTGACTTGTAGGTTTCATAAATACACATGTTGACATTATGAGATGAAAACATTCTTTTTACCAACAATAAAAAAACAACTTCTAATTGTTTCAGAGGAAAGAAGAGACAAGATACATCCTCACATAAAATTAGTTTTTTTTAACTACTTAAAATCTCACAAAATAACCAGGAACATGTGAACAAAACACCATGGCTATTTTTAAGCATGAGAAAATGTGAATTATTGTTGACTATAAAATAGAAACAGAATTATAAAAAAATTGCATAAATCTTCTTGCCCAGGCATACAATAATTTATTTCTATGCAAGTTATTTCCAAATTATTTAATATATTAGATGGAAGGGGATCTAAATATTAAAAAATTGCAAAATACATAGTACATACTTCAGCCCAGAAACAAACAATCAGAGAAGAGCCAGTCAACAAAAGAGGGTAATAAGCACTTAATAGACTGGATGTCCACTGTACAGCAGAATTATTCTGAAGAAAAAAAACAACACTGAGTAAAATATCAAGCTCACAAATTTCAAAGTGACTATATCTACAATAAGATTCATACAAACTAAGAAAAAAAGATTTAAAATATATTCTTGAAAATAAATGAAATGAAAACTAATGTTTTTGAAAATAAAATAATATTCAAAAGTTACTTTTAGTTACTAACAATTATTTGGACTAAACAAAATGCATGACCTTCTACTCCTTTTTCCATGTCCTCCCATCATATGTATGCAACATCTGTAAGCCAATCATGTCATTGTAATGTAGCATTGTCAATATCAAGTTTCAACTTTGAATATCCTGTATCTTTTATAAATAGATCATGTCCCGTACTAAACAATAGTAGAACACAGTAAGTAATGATAGTAAGTTACCTGTATATAACGTATAACGAATTTGTTGTTATATATTTATTTTAATATCAACATTGTTTACATAAGTTTATATTTAGAAACATACATAGCTTATACTGCTAGATAGGTATTGCGAAACTCCTGCCTATTCTCCAAAGCTGCAGAAGATTCTCGAGAGTAAGAATCAACAATATATCTATATATGTAAATGTTTAAATATAGTTCTGTATTGTTATGTAATCTGAATTTTCTAGAAAACCTTCCCATGCCTATAAATACAACCAATGCAACACACCTAAAGGAGAGTGTCCATTAGTAGTTCACTATAATCAGTGTGCTATAAACTTCGAAAGTTATAACAGTGATTTTTATAACCCTTATCAATCGGAAAACTTAAGATATTTGACTAGGAACATTTATAAATTTCTAACATTACAAATCGTTTAACTTCAGTGGATTCTCTTTGGACATTAGTATTTTTACGAAAACATTACCCAACTTCAGTGGACTAACAATTCAGTGTGTGTGGTAAAGGACAAAGCTAGCTAGCTTACCAGCAAATCGTATCTACATTGACTTGAAATTAACTCACTCATCATAAACTCTCGATAAGATATCAAAGGAGTTCCAAACTAGAAAGAAGATTTTCTATTGTTTGTAAGTTTGTGAAACTTTTGTTTATAAATTTTTGTTTGTAATAATTATTTGTAATAATTGTTATTGTAAATTGTGTTGTTGTGTGTATATTAAAATGTATTTGTTAAAAACGAAAATGGTGTGTATCAATCTTGTTGGTAAATATCATAAACTGACTGTATATCGGCTTTAAGTTAACTACTAAATCCAAAGTACAATCTAACTACCAAATCTAAATTATCAGTTAACTCGGCTTTGGACTATTTGAAATTCTAACACGAAGAAAGTTTAAAGTAACCTTATAGTACACCTATTAACATGAAGAAAGTGTAATCATACAATACACCTATTAACACAAAGAAAGTGTAAAGTAACTATAATATACCTATTAACATGAAAAAATGTAATCTTATAATACAACTATTAACATAAAGAAAGTGTAAAATAATCTTATAGCACATCTATTAACATTAAGAAAGTGTAAAGTAACCTAATAATAGACCTATTAACATGAAAAAAATTTAAAGCAACCTCATAATAGACCTATTAACATGAAGAAAGTATAATCTTATAATACACCTATTTACATGATGATAATGAATATGACACTTGTCTCATTTCAGTAAACAAAACTGGAGATATTGATCTGTGTTTACAAAGGACAATTTACAAAAACTTTACAGTAAAATTTGGCATACCCTTACTAGTCCCTGGAAAATGAAGACAACCTAGGAACAAAGGATTAAGAAAACCTAGCTCAGTTGACACAAGGAACTATAAGAGAATAAGGCTGAATGAAGTAATCAATAGTATACACAGGACATAATTAAAAATCTTGACTGGAACAATTAACACCAAAAAGGATGCAAGTAACATATCAGGGAAGACATAAAAACATGATATTACCATGCCCAACAACAATTTAGTAAAAGGTGAAACATATCTAATATGGATACTTGAACCCTTTACAAATACAAATCAAACAACAAAATGTTTGAGTATAACCAACCACAAATATACAAAAGGGTACTGTGAACTCTATTTAGTATTTGAATTACACAAGTTCACATATAGTTTCATCAAGAAAACTTTAAACATAATCCATTCTAAGAACAGCACTTTTAGAAAGTTGGAAAATAGTGGTTTGCATGGAAAAATGATAACAGGAAAAGCCAAGTATCTGGTTGTTAAAATTGTAGAACAAACATATTACAGTTTTTTTTTGTTTTTTTTACTTCTGGATGTATACTAGTCTTGTGAGACAAAGAACATCAATGAGAAGGAAGAGGACGAAGGAAGCTACAACGTAATCAGTCATTAAATGCAAGTAAACAATTCAACAAAAACTGCTCTTCATCACCTAAGACACAATCTTTTATGAACTGTAAAATCAACTCTGTAATAAATTTTACTTTAAAATAATCACCAGCCTTCATTTCCATTATACCCATCACTTGGGCTCAAGCATCAAATTAAACAGTATATTAATCATAGGTAAACGTATATTTCTATAACACTGTAGTTTTTTTCAGAATTATCACATGCCTCACTCAGTATAGGAGAAAGAAAGAAATGCTTGAAGAAAATCATCAGTGTCCATAATTTTTGTTTTTAAATAATGCTTTACAATTTGCACTGTGTTGCTTCTTCCTTTATACTCAAAATGAAGTTAAAATGGTATTCAAACATCTTTAAAACCTTAACCATTATTTGAAAAAGTCTGTACTTGTGTGTCCACTTATAACTGGCAAACTACTAAATCAATTGTCACTAAACATGGTATGTATTCTTAGGACCTCAAGGAATAACAAGAAAGTGGTCAGCATTCAAATCTGACCCCTCCCCTCATTTCACCCTTGGGGGTGGACTATATCCACTGCGCATTGAACAGGTACATTAACTAATTTAGCATAAGAAAAATTAATGTACAAATGAAAGGAAAAAAGAATAAAAAAGGAATTTTTTTAGAAACAACAAATTATGCTTTAAATTTTATTTTTAATAATCTTATAAATGTGTGTATTGCTCAATCTTCAAAACTTTGTATAATAACAAATAAAAAAGAAATTAAAATAGAAATACCCATTTTTTAAATTAATATATGTTATTACTGTTAATAATATAACAGAACATATACAACAAAATGCTTTGTCACATACGTAGTATCAAACAAGTTATGAATCCATCATGGAAGAAACAGAAACTGAAAAGGAAATACTGTCCAGCAATAAGACATTTGGTGAAATGAACTAACAAAAAAAGTTAACTGGATAGGCCAGATATCCATTACATAAAAGTCACAGATTGACCCAGATATAGAACTATCAATAGTCACAGTAGTGTCCACATTAACATGTTTAAATGAAACATTGTAAATAAAGTTTACCCACAAAAAAATATTTTAAAATTTCAAACTGGATCAATTTTGAAAATCATTTTCAATTATATAAACGTCACCACAACTTTCATAAATAGTTGGAAGATTATTAAGTTTATACTACCTTCAAATGCAATATTCTACATAAACATTAACAAAATAAGTTTGACTTCTATTCATTATAATATAAAATCATAGCATGGACAAATCACAAAGATATTTCACCCTTCTAATAAATGTTATTTGGAAATTGGAGAGATTATCAACAACTACAATATACTTACTGGAGAAGAGAAGTAGAAACCCCTAATAGCTGTAGCAATAGAAATCAGCACATACAAGGCCTTTTGAGTTGTTACTCTGCATGCTTTGACAACAGATGGGGTTTTCATCCGACAAAATTCTGATTTAATACAGACAAGCTGGAGAAAAATATGTCACAAAAATGTTAAATAAAGAATTTGGAAGCTATAATTTACTTTTTCTCAAATGCTATTATAATGGAAGGCTTGTCTTTTTCATATACAAAAAAAATATTACGTAAGAAAACCTATTTGTAAATTAAACAGTGTCATTAACACATACATTAACTGCGGTATTAGTAAAGTCATATGCTAATAAAATGTATAGGATTAATTAAAATGTAGTCTCTGAAGACTAAGTAGAGGATTTCAAATGCATAGACCACAGTTAAATTATAAAATGTAAAGACTATTTGAATGGTGAATAACTCGCAAGTCTTTCAACACATCCTATTTACCTACAACAAAAAACACCAAATGTCACTTGTAACAATTAAATTACACCTACTATACTAACAACTCAATCTTTACTAGGCATAAACAAAGGACAGAGCAAGTCAGATGTTAACATTTTCCAGCACTGAAAATGTAATTTCGATAGATACTTCCTCTCACATATAGCTTTCCTGATTCAGTGCTGCTCTCCATATGAAAGTTTCTCTTTCCACTAGGCTCAAGGCTCCCAATTAAACTCACATGATGTTGCTGTATTACTGCATGCAAATGAGCATGCAACAACCATCTTAGCACAGTTGACTCCCTCTATACTGATTGTTCAATCATCACTTTGAGATTATACAAGAAAAGATGCACCAGAAGTAGGGAGGAAGGGTGGGAAGTGTGAACAGAGGTATGTAGCTATCAGAAATGCATTTTCAGTCTTGGAAAATGTTAACTTCCAATACAATATGAAACTACTTCTCACATATAGCTAGAATTCCATATTAAAGTGGTGTTGGATCCGGTGCAAAATTTACCTAAATGTCTAGATTACCCCCCATTCGAGAAGTACCCAAATGAAACCCATGGAGTTGGACACCCTATACCATGGAACAGTGTATGGGGACATCCATTGGAGACTGTACCTCATCTGTACCCATAAAAAAGATAATTGTTGCTAAAATGGGCATAAAATACAAGCACAGTCCAGAACCTGTATAATGCTCATGGAAGTGCTGTATGCATTGTGTAGCTAGATCATGGCAGACCATACATGATGGATCAACTCCAGTACAAAACCAGGAGGAACTGGGAATATTTCTTCCAGGCTGTGGTATTCTTGATTAAAATCAATATCATGGCCTCCCAGTAGTGTTTACTGCTACAAAACTTAAAAAAAAAGGCTAAACTTCACAAGCTACAGGCTGAAATCGACTAAAATATGGGTTATTTTTAGTGAAATCCCTCTTGCTCAGGTGCTATTTTATAACTATGTCCTACAGAACCAAGTATGAGTATGTATTTCAAGTATAGTTGTTTCCCACCTTCTACTTAAAAACTAAGGATAAGCTTTCTTAAGATGTAAATGAGAAAATTCATTTCAAAGCTCACTCTAAACTCCCATTTTTAGGAATAAGAGGAACATGTAAAAAAATTATACAAAAGTTATAATTTTCCTATACTGAAAATATATTTCCAATAGGTACTTACCTCCTCTCAAATAAATAGTTATTTGGTGCTGCCCTCTATATGCAAAGCATATCACATATATTTTTTAAGCATGTCACAAGGCTTAAGCTCCTACGTATCTTACAATTGCTCAATTCCAATGCATCTTGCTTGCAAATATCATGCAACAACCCTCCACCAATAATAGTGCAATACACTCTCCTGATATATGCGACTCCCTCTATTCGATTCTACCAAACTATCACTTCTAGTTTTGGCAGAAAATGGAAGCACAAGTTTTGAGTGGGGAGGAAGTGTGAGAGAAGGTCAGTACTTATCAGAAATATATTTTCAGTATAGGAAAATTATAACTTCCGATACGGTATATTACCTCACACAAATAGCTAGAATCCCTCCTTGAAGAGGTGGAGGGAAAGGTGTGAGGAAAAGAAAGAAGCATCCTTTGAAAGCATCTGAAGGGCACCCTAAAAGAGTAGATCCTCACATTAGTAGGATACATACGTGGAAGACTGCACCACACTCCTAACGTAGGTAACGAATGAACTTTAGGTAAGTTACCTTCGTTGTTAAATAG